TATTCTATTCTATTCTATTCTATTCTATTCTATTCTATTCTATTCTACTTTTTTTTCTGTGGTATAGATTCTAGTGCATCATAGATTACATGTAGATGTTCTTTAATAATACAGGAGCAAATCTTGAAGTATGTAAAGGGAATCCATTTTTATGGGTAATTTATAAAGAACATTAATTTTCAAATCAGAAATGATTTTGTTTATATTGCTACTTCATTTTAACATACGTTGAAATCCATCAACTCATTCTTGTTTCATTATTTCAGGTAAAAAAAATCCTTTGTTTTATAGGTTAGAATAGCTGTCGATATAATGATTAGGAATTGAACTTAGGTGAAGATGCCTTTCCCTTTACAAATTCCTACAGTTTTTCCTTTTTAAATTCAGGTAATCCTTGAATTACAACGGTTCATTTAGTGACAGTTCAAAGTTACAAAGGCACTGAAAAAACTAACTCATGACCATTTTTCACATACTGTTTTTCACTTATGACCACTGTGGCATCCCCATGGTCACATGATCAAAATTCAGACGCTTGGCAACTGACTCATATTTATGATGGCTGCAATGTGACCCTTTGACAAACAAAGTCAATGTGGAAGCCAGATTCGCTTTACAACCATGTTACTAACTTAACCACTGCAGTGAATCTGTTGTGGTTAATTGGCATCAGGTGCGAGCAGCTGAGGAGAGCGAGGGGCCAGGACCATTAGGGAGTGAACAGCTGCCTTTAGAGATTGTGGGGGCTGACAGCAGTGATGAGGAGGTTCCTGAGGAGCCTGTGCTAAGTGCGCGCAGGATTGCTCGTAGGAAAGAGCAGTTCCAACAGCATGGGTGACTCGGGAGTAAGGCTGCAAGGTAATGGCCCCTCCTTCAAGAAGATAAAAGCCAGCTGTGAAACAAACGTACTTTGCAGAAGGCAAAGACATTTTGAAACTCCAGCCTCGTGGACATTCCAGTACCCTGAGTTTGTATTTGAACATTTTTGTCTTGCAAATTATTTCTTGTCTGTTATCTTTTGGCAAGCCTCACACAGTTTGGCAAGGCTTGTGCTTATCACAGCTAATTATTTTGTAAAAGCATTACAAGGTTTTTGTTCCTTTTGGATTATGTTTGATTTGTGGGAAAGGGGCGTGGGTCAGAACAGAATCATTTAACAAATGTTTTCAGAAAGTTCATAAAATGGGACAAGATTCACTTAACAACCAACTTGCTTAGCAATTGAAATGTTGGGCTCAGTGGTGGTCATAAGTTGAGAAC